TTACGTTTTTTAAAATATATTATTAAAAGAAAAAATTAAATAAAACCGATGTGGTAAAAAAAAAATCCAATCCAGGACCCGCTGCGCTAATCGGTGGAGCATTCGAGTCTTCAAATGATGAGTTCCCCTTATCCTTTCTTAGTTTAACATTCAATTAAAAATGTATTAAATTTTTTTCAGAAAAGTTCATCAATGAGAATGGCGGCGATGAAGTGGAATATATAGCTGCATCGATGTCGCTTTTCCAATTTGCCAATAACCGCATGTAATTGAAAGCACGCAACAAGATGTAATAATTAACTTTTTTATGCTTAATTTTTGTGTGTTATCGTGAATTTGTATGCTAAAATGTCTATTCCCTATTTATATTTTCGCGACAGTAGATGAGTCCGCCGAAAATTCGCATTTCGTTTAGTTTCTAGATGTTAAGAAATCTATGTATGAGTTTTTAATGAAATATCTATAAATAAAGTGTTATAAAAATGTTTATAAAGCTTTCTTTTGAAAATTTTTAGTAAGTTTATATTCATACGCTTATAAAAAACTTTTTTTGAACCTTTATTATAAGTTTACACTTTTACGCTTATAAAAAGCTTTCTTTTGAACATTTATTACAAGTTTATATTTCTACGCTTATAACCAATGTTCCTTTTCGATTATATTACGCTTACTTTCAAGCGTTTTATAAACAAAAAATCAACGTTTTGTAAGCTTAATGTTTATAATTGAAAACTTAAAAAAAACTTTCTTTAAGTTTATTTTGCTTGTTGGGTAGTGTATGTTGTGCTTTGTAATTATTAAACGAATGGCGGAATATTACTTGCAACGCCATTTTTGTAACTTGCCACCAAAACTTTTTGGAAAACTTCAAAGGGGATAAAGACAATGATTGATTTCCAATCTAAATTCAATTTAAATGCCTGGGAGCATCACATCGCGTAAAGTTTATAGAATTGCAGATATTTTTATAACGTCGGATTGGGGGAAAATATCAAAAAATGGCCGGCAAACTTCGCGCAAAAAAAAAATAAAATTATAAATTAATAAAGGCCTGTATGCAGCTCTCAAGAAAAGCAAAAACTCAATGTAAAATGACGTACAAGAAATGGCTAAGAAATTTTCTTGAGTCAAATTTCCTTAAGGCAGTACGCAGTTCTTAAGAAATTTACTACGCTTTCTACTACGGTTTTCTAAAGTTTTTTGTGAAAAAAGAGCACAAGGCAACACAGGCTTGCAACAGAAATATATGCCCGTTCCATTATTTCTTGAGGAAAGAGTGAGGCAACAGGCTGTGAGGTATCAAAAATGTCAAAATTCCTTGGACACACACGCGAAATAATGGCAATTTTTTCTTGACCGTTTTCTTGAGAGCTGCATACAGGGCTAAAATGACGTACAAGAAATGGCTAAGAAATTTTCTTGAGTCAAATTTCCTTAAGGCAGTACGCAGTTCTTAAGAAATTTACTACGCTTTCTACTACGGTTTTCTAAAGTTTTTTGTGAAAAAAGAGCACAAGGCAACCCAGGTTTTCAACAGAAATATATGCCCGTTCCATTATTTCTTGAGGAAAGAGTGAGGCAACATTCTGTGAGGTATCAAAAATGTCAAAATTCCTTGGACTCACACGCGAAATAATGGCATTTTTTTCTGGAGAGCTGCATACAGGGCTTAAGGTTGGAGAAATTCCAAACCCTCATTAAATTGCATATTGCTTATTTATTAACGCATTAAAGGGGGACCTTTATAAGCGAGGAGTTTCCCAAGGAAAATGTAAGATTTTAGCTTGCGATATGATGGAAAAATGTGCAAGGATTCGTCCGACTAAATTTTTGGACTTTTCAGCCACTAGGTCGCTATCATTTCTTAACGCACTCTATTGTTCCACATATATCGTCGCCTGGGTAAAAGATTGTCGTATGTTACGCACGTACGTATGACGCTTACGACAATCTTTTACCTAGGCGACGATATGTAAATATTCCCATTGTTAAAAATTTGCATTCACTAATCGTACAATAAAAATAAACTTGGACTTTTTTGCTTCATCAAAAAAAAATCTCAGTGTACACATAAATTTTGTAGATGTATTGTGATTTCACTTCAATATACAAATTTTGAGCAGCCCTGTTGTAGTAGGTAACTTTTGATACAGTTTACCTCTATTTGACACGTAGATCATGGATCCAGTCTTGACCCTAATTTTCATATGGGAACATTCCGCCATCTTGAATACAATTTTTTTTTTGTTTTTTTTTTGCGACTTGCAGGCTTATTTTGCATATTTTGTAAAAAGATGATTAAATACACGTCAACCGGTACAGTACGATGGCCAAATTCTATAGGACGAATTACAAAGATTAAGGTCTTAAAATGATCGCATAGATGTCCCACTTTGAAAACAGTGTTGCCTTTTGAAAAATTCAACATGGCGTCTAAACTAACCGTAAATGAAATTTTGCTTTACAACTTTTGTGCCACTGAAGAACCCAACACTGAAAAAGAAAAATAAAATCTTTTTATATTTTGTGGTAGGAAAATTCAAAATGCCGAATCCAATATATATCGTATAATATGGTATTCAATTTAAAAATTTTATTTCTTTCTTGTTTGAAAGCTAGCTTATTAATAACTAAAAATTTTCTTTTCTAATAACAAACAAATTCATAGAACAATAAATTTACAGCCTTACTCTGTATCACGAACGATAGGCAACACGAACGATTCGTCTGCAGATGAATGCTTCAAAAATTAGTCCGGCGGCATGTTGTTGTTGTAGCAGCATACAAATTCCCCAAAGACGTTTTGGGGAGTGTTGCTGGAGTGACAGTCCTTGGCCAGATATAAATCTGGGTCGTTCCAGTTACGTAGACCCGACTGTCCGGCGGCATCATTTTAGCCAGTTTGCATTTTTGACCGTCTGCAGACGGGATTGCCGGTTCGTAGGTCAACATTGTGTAAGAGAAAGCTGAAAATACGTCAAAGTATATCGGCGAGCCCGTCTCCAGACGGTCTTGGTTTTTCTCTGTAGGAAAAAGTTACTGTCACAGATCGAAATGGACATCATTTTTGGATTTCTCGTGCTAAAATCACCCATTCCTGAATTTTTCAACTCATACATAAATTGGCCTACTAGAGGGTTTAAAAGGGGAAACTCAAAGAAATTAAAAACTATCAAAACTCTAAAAATTTTAAATGGCGGTGATTTTTAAATTTATATAGGTACACGATACATGTTGAAAGTCGAAGAGTAACTTTTAAAACATTCACAAAAGCTGAATGAATAAACGAAAGATTACACAATATGGCGATAAAAAAAATTAAATCGTTTACAACTATAAAATCAAGATCAGGTTCTTAATAACATGTTATTCATAAGCCAGGCACGTACGCCCATGACAAATGGTAGATGCAATATGTATGCGTCATTTAGATTTTTTAATTCTGATTTCAGTTTCGTAATTAGTGACCGTAAGAACCCTTGATTATAAAGTTTTAAGCGAATCTAATCGATTTAAATTTCTTTGTCGCCATATTGGGTTCGCCATTTTTCCATTCTGGCTTCAGATTCTTAATCATCTACACCAAAAATCCATGTACCAATTTTTCGCACTTTTTGCTAATTATTTACAATCATTTTTTTTTTTTTTTTACCTTACATATAAAAAAATGTGGGAAATTAAATTCTCTATAAATCTGTATTTATCTTATTTTCGAAAAGTGCAAAATAACTCGCAAATCGCAAAAACCCAAAACTTAAAATCCAATATGACGGAAAGTTCCCATACGAAATTTAGGGGCAAGGCTGTGGATCTACGATCTACGTGTCAAGTAGAAGTAAACTGCATCAAAAATACCCTACTACTAATTTTTTGTTTTCGTTAATAGAAGGATATGATAAGGCATTTCTTTATAAGCCTTTCTCCACTGTATGTGGTTATATTGTAAACGGTCATTGAACTAAAATTTCTCGTCTGGGTACTTTCCAGTACAAGTAGAATCGAGTATTTCCTAGCGATACTTTAGGTAGCATCGCGTATTCTATTCGATACTTTTAGTGTTACAGGCATCGAGTACATGGTGGTATCGGACGAACACTAGGTTGAGCATATTGGCCATTTCCATTAATTATAGTTTAGAAATATAGCACCGTGTAACAAAAAAAAAAAAAATTTCAAAACATACGAAACAATTAATATACGACACAATGGATCAAATATAGTAAGCTGCGTTTTTAGTTTTTCACTTTGACGTCAGGATTTTTTTAAATAACTTTGAAATAATAAAGATATGATTAATTCAAAACATTATTTAAAAAAATCATTGGAATGTACAATAACAATATGGATACCAAATGAAAGAGAAAATGCAGTAGAATTGTAAAACATTAAAGACTTTTGGTTTACAAGGACGTATAAAATGCGTTTTTAATTGATTTTATTTTTTTTTAAGTTAATAAAGTTTTGAGGACGAAATTGGAGGAAGTGGTCGTTTGTAAATTAGTCCTTAATATATATTTTTTTCAAAAATAAATACTGCAAATTTTCAACGATAAAATTTTAAAAGGAAAATTTCCATACCCATTCGTTCTAATGACCCAAAAAAATTTAATAGTTTTTTAGTTCTACAGGATTTTCTCTTTTATTTGATACCTACATTGCACTGCAATTTTTTAATAAATTTTTGAATTAATCATATTATTGAAAAATTAAAAAGGCAGTTTTAGTATATTTTGCCCATATTTTCGCGAATATATTAATTTTTGTGTGTGTAAAATTTACTGTCGCACGGTGCAATAGTCGGATGCTTTGAGTTAATGCATTTCTGAACACAGGGTTCGTTTCTTATATTGCTTGCTTGTTATGATCAAATTTCAATTCTCCACGCAGTACGCACAATGAGTATGTACATTAAGGACCAGTTTTCAATGCCAATAGACTGACATTTTATTGGCTAATCTTAGTTTAAACTAGCCAGCTCGAGCGTTTGAACTTAGTTTAAAGCTGAAATTAGTCAAGAACGTAAAAATACCGGTACGTAAACCCGAGTCAGCTGACACGATCTGTCTTACCAAAGCGCCATGTAAATGAAAACTCAACACCGCAGAATTTTTCTGTAGTTGTAGCCCGTAACGCAGAAATCTGCGGAATTTAGATTTTTCCGTGTCAGCTGATTTCTCCTTGTAGATGGTAAAAAAGATATAAGTTCCTATTCAAAATATGTTCAAAATATTTGAAATTTACTATTGAATAAGGTTTTTGTTGAAAACTAAGTAGTTTATATTTAGCTAAAATCTATTATAGCACGATAAATTGTAGTTGAAAGGGTAAGTTTATGAAAAGGCATTGATGAGTGGCAACAGTGTAGTAAGCTCAGTATATCCAGTAAACAAACTTAGCTATTTTTTTTCGCCAAGTTTGGTCCCCATAAAGGACTAGTGTTGCAAGCAACGCTTTTTCGGCAATTAGGGTGTTGTGCAGCTATTTAATGTGGTGAAAATTATTTAAGCACTGGGGAGATTTATTCACATGGAATTGGAGATTGGGCTAATAGATTTATTTTAAATAAATTGTGAATCTGCGAAAATATTTTTTCAGCAGATGGATACACTTTTTAACCTTTTTCCCGAAAATGTACATACAGGCTCGAAAATATGCGAGTAACATTAGGTTTGTATAGTAACAGTAACATTGCAGCGAGAGCGTAAAAGCAAAATAGAGCGTTAAATTGAGAAGAAGAGAAAACTAGCAGAAGAACTTATTGAACACAAAACTAGCAATAACTTGCAAGTGAACAGTTGTTGCACTGCTTTGACAATCTGCTGTAAACATTTTACTATTTATAAATCAGTTTTAAACTCTTTGCTTTACACACAAGCACTAACACTGTCCAGTACATCATTAATATTTTTGTTTCCACTCATTTTACTTTTGTTTGTGCCAAGGCGAATCAATATAAGGTGATTGCAGGAGTACAAAAACAAAAATTTACATGTATTTTGTTTTTGCTTTGGCGGCATAAACTGTCAAAACCTGTAAGTGTGAGTAGAAATTCAAACAAAATTTTTCAATTTGATATCAGAAGCCGTGCGGCGAAACACATACACAAAATGAACTGAGCTAGTAACACCACTTTTTATATATTCTTTTGACATTTATTCTAATTCTTCTTCTTCTGCTAGCTAATTTCTGCTAGTAAAAATTTCACTAGCAAGAATTTGCAGCTCTCTCGTGTTGTTACGCTCTCGATTCAGTGCTCTCTTGCAAATTTTTTGGGTTATCATACACTTTTCCAGTAAAAGTTTGCAGGTTCCAGTACAAATTAGTACTGACTATTGGTAATTTTACAAACCTATTCAAATATCGTCGCCTGGATGGAAAATTGCCGGAAGCGTCATTTTGACAATTTGTGGCTTTTGGATATCTTCTTTAGTTTCCGACTAATTGACTAAAATTTTTTCGGTTATTTGGTACAAATTGCGTTAGTATTGCTGTCGTACTAAACTAATCAAGATCTTTCAAATAGAGTTATCTGTTCTTCTTTAGTTTCCGACATATTCATCTTTATCATGAGTTTCATTTTCTATAACCGGGTCACTTTTCGTTTGCGAGTGTTCACTACAGGTGGATGAAAAAATTGTTGGCGAAATTTTGTTCGGGCGAAACTCACGATTAGGCTGATTAGTAAAAAGTATGGTTAATTTATAAAAATTGTTATCACATTTTGGCGTATATCACTAAAACTGACTGCAAATTTTTTGACAAATGTCGTATACGACAAAATTTTATTAAACTCATAAATGGTTGACACTAAACTAAAAAAAATAAGATAATTTAAGAATTTCATGAACTAG